CCTACGCGCAAGCGAATTATTGAAATAAAATTGAACCATGTGTTAGTCCCGAAATGACCTAGTTTGTGTCGAGTGGACGTTAAACCCCATCTCTCTCTCTCTCTCTCTCTCTCTCTCCCTCTCAATTTTCACAGCCAGAATAAAAAAAGAATTTGCTTCCTCTATTAGTCTAGTTACGCAATTTGTTGCTGGTTTATAAATCATTTTGTAGATCAATCTTCCAATTTGTATGTTCGGTGAGAATAGATGTATTACATTAGTTGTCTTTTTTCATTGTCTATATATGAAACGAAATGAAATGAAGTGAAAGGAGGTTTAACATCCTACTTTTCTGCGCCGACTTGGACTAATGTAGCCGGGCCTACGTCTTACAGTATGCTATGAGGTAAACTTTGCCCAGGCAACAGAGCTATGACCTACTCCTATATCAAATTCCAACTGTCAAGACGTGCAGGCCAACGTGTGCACCGGACCTCGGTTTTCGGCCTATCCGAATGATTAGACGCCGTACTTGCTATGGAATTGCAGATGAATAATGAGTGCAATGTCGAATGCATTGGGCATATGATAAATTATATGCAACAGAGTTTTAACGGGGATCTTTTTCTGGGGTTTGGGCGCAACAAGGAGGGCAAATTGATGTAACGGCGCCTCGGTAACGTTAGCAGCTTCCGATGCCATCGGCAATTGAAAGAACTTTTTGTCAGGAGAACGAAGAGTCATATGGACAATTAAACAGGCTGTAACTCTTGGGAGCGTTGGAAGCCACCCATCAGCAAGCGTTTGCGATTTCTAACCATTTTTGGTATTAAAATTAGGGCTGGCGAGCGAGCATAGATCTCGAGAAATCGAGGTGGGATGGAGGTGAGGGGTGATTGGAGCATGGGGGGGGGGGGCGTTGTAGCCATCGACTTCCCCAAGGCAGATATATGTGTTATTTTGAATCATTTTTGCTGTTACAATTCTATTCGAGCTCGTTCGCTTATTATATCGCTCAACTAAGGCGAGGTTCTCGTTGTTATAGGGGCCAATGTTGTCTTGATGTTGTTGCTTCTGTACAGGTTCACTAATAACATTTTATTATTTATTATGTCCGAGTGTTTGTTTTTGTCTTCTCTATGTGTTGTGTCTTCTGGGTGTCCATTTTGTTGATATGTGTAATGTCGTTGATCTGTATTAACTTAGAGGTGGGTATTTTGTTATTCTTAGGTTTATACAATCGGCTAAACCTTCATGATAGAATTTGTTGAATCCGTTTCAGATCTTCATGATCACATTCCTGGTTGATTAGACGGCCAAACAAAATATTTTTTTTTGTCATCAAGCGCCCTTCATAATATTACAATATCTGTATAAACTCATTTTTCTTCTATATTGACATATATTGATCAAATTAATACCAGTGACAAAAGTCGGACTTAAAATAGATCCTGGTAATCAAGTGTGAATGAAGCAAGTCCTAGGATTGATGGACATAGATGACTTGATTATTATTTCAATTGGAGTGTAATTCCCGGCTATCCAGGGGGCTCTTTATTAACTCAAGAAGTCGCTTTGTGTGTCAATCAGAGCATAATCAGGTTGATCAACCTGTGCCTCAAATGAAAGTTTTCTTGATTATTGAATTAATGAGGAGATGTCCTTTCCTCTAATGACCAATCCGTCCCCGCCATGAAACTAAAGACTGTCATATGTTTAATAATGTGGCCATTAATTTGCCCATAACGAATGTAATATATCCAGGTTGTTCTTCTCATTATCTTATATACCATTCATTATCACTATACTTCAACATAAGATTTTTATCATTCCGTCTCCGACGGCGTTACCATTGTCTTCAGGAATATCTTATTATTCCAGGTACGCACAAGTTTGATCCTGCGTTATGAGAAAAGGGCACTCTGTTCTGTTTCTACTCCTGATTAGTTATATTGCTAAATAATAACATGTTCTTAATTGTTTTATTTATATACATTTTTGTTCTTTTTGTTTTCGCTTTTAGTCATTAGTGCTTCAAGTTTGCTTGTCAACTAATCAGATCTATAAGATATCTTTTTATTATATGTTTATTAGACAGAGAATCTCAAGTAATGAGAGATTTTTCGGGCAAACTACAACTGTGCTGGAATTTCAACCAAGGGGAAGGAACAAATTCTAACTTCATAAGAAAGTCATTAACAATATAAATGTTTGCCGGTTTTACTGCTTTGTGGTGTAAACAGTTCTCCTATGATGGTGAGTGGGAGCTTGTAAGTTATGTCATAGAGTCAATAGGCGTGATTTTGACTTCACACTTCACGAAAAAAAAAGAGATAACTTCAAAATATAAAAAATAAAACAATGAATTAGTAATTACCATACATTAATACATCGACACATACATTTTTTCTAATACTAATATTTATAGAATGCCAAAAGTTTCTTCTATAGCAAAGGAAACATAGTCTGAAGTGGTTTCGGCACCACACTGAATTGACCAGAACCATTAAACACTGGATAATTCTATTGAGCTAAAGCGTCTAGTCAAACTATGGAAAGTTATCTGTTACACCAAATTAATAAAAGTGTTGCCTAGGGGGCTTTTATGACTATTGTTATCATCATGTTGATCAAAGAGAGTGCCATTTTGAATTGTTTTTCTGTTCCTTTTTTATATTATTATCTGTCAACCAGAATTGTCCTAACAAAATCTTCAATTTGGTTCACGAACCTTTGTGTGACATGCCAGGATACAGTGGTAAAATGTACATTATATTCCACAACACTTCACTACAGCGTCTTATAATATTAATAGGAGGCACCTGACCTAAATAAAATAGGCCCAAAAGATCTGCCAAAGAAATTAAATGGCGATTAACTTGCCGCTTTTTCTGGACCAACTGAGCAAATGGCGGCTCATCATTGAATTCAAACTGTCAAAAATTATTTTAAGTACACGCAAGTGTATACACGAATGGGCGTCCGTTTTTTGTACCATCCGAATGACCAGATGTTTTTTATCCTGCCAACAACGATATCGGACACGGGACTCCTTGGGCCTCATACTCACTCACTGAGCAACCGCGGTTCCCCTTATTAATGCATTGTGAAGTTAACCCTTTTCGAAAGGTTGGTTATGTAGAAAATATACCAGATTTTAAATCAACTACATAACGTATGTGACATGGTCCTATTCTCAGACGAATCATTTGGCAAGTTTCACCAACCAATTAACAGGCTAATTATAAGACGTGGGGTGGGATAAAATAACTAAACATCGTCAAGAGCAGAAAGCACAAGAAAACGGACATACGACAATGCCATTTTATCAATATTTCTATTTCTAAAAGCCTTCGGAGGGAATCGATCATCTAAACCGTTTGACTAATCGTGTTTAGTATATCGCTATCATACCAGAACATTCATTGAAATGAAAACATGGATTATGTTTTTAGTCTATAGATTATTAAACATTATTAATAACTCTTCTTAAAACCCAACACACATCAGGAGACATCGTGATTTCAACAAACAATTTTAATTAATAAAGAACTTTATTTGATCGATTACCACTTTATTCGCTTAAAGCAAAACCCTTTCATGATTTAAACGTGAGTATTAATTATAAAGTTATATCGAATCAAAATTGCAACTTGAATTCTAAATATTATGGCTTTATTAATGCCGATAAAAATAACCAACCCTCTTATCGTTACATAAAAGGTTCCTAAATACACGCAAGTGACGCCATTTTGTTTTTGTGTGCTTTCACACGTAAAGTAGAAATAAAAGGTGTTTAAGTCAAGATAGGTTTCTAGTCATTATCACCAGTTTTACACTCGTCGCTTGTCGATAATAAAACAGGTTCTCTAATAAGAAACAAATCAATGATTTAGTTGATACTACTGTGGCTGAATATAGCTCTAGTTTTAAAATAGAATCTATTAGTAAAGAGTGTGCCAGCATGAATCCGATAAACATCATGGCACCTTTTCAAATCGATGCTAATAACTTTTCAATTTGATTTTGTTTCGCACCAATCAAGGTTTTTAAATATTTCGTCACTGAAGAAATTTCGAACCCCCGTTTTTATCTTTAACAAAACCTACTATAGCTTGCATGATCACCGACATTTAATTCAAGATTTGGATATTGATGGTGCAATAGTTCTTTATTGCTAAATTGTTAAGCTCGGTGTTATCCTTTATATTGACAATAATTGTATCTGTTATAAGCTGAAGATCGTCACTTTATATTGGAGTATAGAAAGAATACATTCGGCACACAGAACTATCTACTTTGAGAATATATCTCTGCCCTGAATGGCCGCCATGTCAAAAAAATGAGTATACACTTTTTTTTAATGAGGTTCTAATCCGTTTTACATCTTTCATACACACAAAATAGTAAATAACATTTTATATTTTATTAAATGGAAGCAGAACAAACACTTAGTGTTTCCGACTAAAATATTCGTTTTATGTCGGTCAATTAGCTTCGTGTCTGTTATCAAGAGGAGCTAATTGTAGAAAAACGACGTAACTTTCGTATGGCAACAGTATTGGTGTTTAGTTATTGCATAATATAGCTGAAGAGGGAGGGCTCCCTACTTCTTTCAATAGTTCACTGCATATCTCCTTTATTCATGTTAGAGGGTTGTTGGATGGCCGAATGGTTAGCACGTGTATCATAAGGTCTGTCATTGAGTCAACTGGCGGGGTTTCGATTCCCAGGTTGTACGTGGCAAGGAGTTGTGTCGCTTGTCCAACCTCGTGGGTCCTCCGATTTCCTTCCACTGCTAAAGACCCCTATGCACAAGCGAATTATTGAAATAAAATTGAACCATGTGTTAGTCCCGAAATGACCTGATTTCTCTCTCTCTTTCTCTCTATTCATGCATAGAACTTAATACACTGGAACGCCAACGAGCGTCTACTTCCGGTAAAATTTGTGGCTGTGTGACGTGCTTCGAAAAAGTGCCCAGTTTACTTCCGGTATATTGTTATTATCACGTAATTTTGTTAGCCTGATAATGTGAATTGGATTAAATATTTATTCATTTGTGCCTCACTCCAAACAAATGTTGTGATCTTCGCTCATCATTTATTATTGATATAAAAAGAAATGTCATAAATAATGCAACAGGGAGAGTTGTAAAATGACGAAGAACTGGAAGCGACGACGTCGACTGGCTGCCAGCACAGTACAATTTACAAACTGCGCACTGTCTTTATAAACAGGTATGTTGAAAATTCACTAATGTCATTAGGCCTATAATTCATAGAATCAAGTCATCGTTTTTTTTTGAGAAAACATAAATGAATCGATTTACAAAATAATAATGTAATGACTGGTTTAAGTCGGGGACGGAATTACGTACCAAACCCTTTTGTTTACTATAGACTTATAATAGTTATAGGCCTGTCAGGAATGTGAATGAATTTCAAAAAGTTGATTTAGTAATATTTCAGTGAGCACAACCATACTTCTAATTTTACAATATTGGGGAACTAATAAAATAAAAGTACAAAAAAATGAATACTGGTATTTTGTTTTTAAATTTAAATTATTTGATCTAATTCAAAGAAAAATTTACAAATGGAATTTTCCTTTTGAATATTATTTCTTTGTGAAAAAATTCACATGATAATCAAGAAGAAAAGGATATCAGATTTGTGTCATTGAAGGAGTGGATTTGTATATAAATTAAGGCCTTGTTTGAGTAAAATTAAAAGAGCTATCAAGTGAATAATGCTGATTGAAGAAAGTTTTTCTTGTGCCAATTCCCATGGCATTACCTGAAATCGGTCGTACTTTCTTGGTATTGAGTCTGATTTGAATATAAACCCATCTGTAAAGTCTGACACCAACTGCCTTTTTAATCTATGCATAAATTATATTAGTATAACTAAAACTGCATTTCTCTTTATTCAACTGTAAAATTTAATTGTAATTTGTAGACACAGAAATCCCTGAAGAAACTCTATTTTATGTTCAAACATACTACTACTAATAATTAATATGTATTTTTTTTTCAGACCAATAATACAAAAGCCATTGTATTTAATTTTATGAAGAACTTTCATTTGATGTGAACAAGGAATTTCTAACATGGAAGAAGGACAATAAAATATAATTCCTAAATAACCACCCGCACTGAGTGTTGATTCATCCCTAAATCCTAACTTTAAAATAGTTGTTGCACTGAATGAAAAGCAGGCTGTTATGCGAGTGCCTGAAAGACTTTGAAATATATTTCTTGTGAAAAATTGGAATAGACTCAGCTATCAACTGACTGTACATTATACACTTTCAGTTACACATTCTATTTTTTGGAAATAATTTTAATAAATATAATGAATGAAATCATTGGATTATTGTGAATATTTTGAAAATGTACTAGGGATAGAGTCTGTCTATCTTGTCCACTCAATGAAATTATGAATTCTCCTCAATGTGTTTAAAGTCAATTTCTATTCAATTCATAAGATATGCAGCTCTTGTGTGTACTGGTACAGGTGTATTCAGTAAACTGTAAAATTTACCCACTCCCTCCTCTATGATTACATAAAATCATTTATTGTAACTTTGACACACGGATCACAATTTACAATAGGGTGAATGAAAATATGCATAAATCTGGTAACTTTTCTCTCTGATCAAATGTGTGAAATTGTCATAAATTTATACAAATTTAAGGTTCAATGTGAATGCAACTATGGTATATTTTCTTGGACAAATTTTCCAGATCCTAAAAACATTAGCTTCACACAGTGTCACTTCACTATAAGCATAGTTCAGAATAGTAATGTCTTTACATTTTGTGGGTCTCTATTATATTGCAAATACACATATTATAAACGTTTAAATCCACAACTTTTCATATTTCAAATTTATTATTTCCTTTTAATAAAAAAAAAATTATTTCATTCTGATCCACAGTACTTGGTGCCAATCCAAACTTAGTTTTGATATTTAATGCACTCCTTCATGCTTCCATAATACAGTATATGCAATGCTACCTGATGCACCACTGACAAAAAGGGAAAACAGGCAATTTTCTCAACAAACATCTGAATCAAAATCCAAATCTCCTTGATAGTGGGCAAACGCCTTCCTCCCTGTAAATGTCAATTTATTTTAATTTTATAAATCTTCATAACATGCTCAGAGAATTCTGTCTGATTTTGACTTTTTTTTGACAGCTGATCACTGTTTTAGAAATAGGTAGGCCTATATAAAAATGAGGCCTAGTAGGCCTATATTATTTTAATTTTGCAAATCTTCACAAAATGCAATGAAATTTTCTACCTGCATATTTTGACCTTTTTTTTGACAGTGTTTTAGAAATAGGTAGGCCTAAATAAAAATGAGGCCTAGTAGGCCTATATTATTTTAATTTTGCAAATCTTCAAAAAATGCAGTGAAATTTTCTGCCTGCTTATCATGACAGCTGATCACCTTTTTTTTTAGAAATATGTAGGCCTATATTACAAGGCCTAGTATTATTTTAATTTTACAAATCTTCATAACATGCTAAGAGAATTCTGCCTGCATATTTTGACTTTTTTTTGACAGCTGATCACTGTTTTAGAAATAGGTAGGCCTATATAAAAATGAGCCCTAGTAGGCCTTTATTATTTTAATTTTGCAAATCTTCACAAAATGCAATGAAATTTTCTGCCTGCTTATCATGACTTTTTTTTGACAGTTGATCACCTTTTTTTAGAAATATGTAGGCCTATATTACAAGGCCTAGTAGTATTTTAATTTTACAAATCTTCATAACATGCTCAGAGAATTCTGCCTGCATATTTCGACCTTTTTTTGACAGCTGATCACTGTTTTAGAAATAGGTAGGCCTATATAAAAATGAGGCCTAGTAGGCCTATATTATTTTAATTTTGCAAATCTTCACAAAATGTAGTGAAATTTTCTGTCTGAATATTTTGACCTTTTTTTTGACAGTGTTTTAGAAATAGGTAGGCCTATATAAAAATGAGGCCTAGTAGGCCTATATTATTATTTTGCAAATCTTCAAAAAATGCAGTGAAATTTTCTGCCTGCTTATCATGACTTTTTTTTGACAGCTGATCACCTTTTTTTTTAGAAATATGTAGGCCTATATTACAAGGCCTAGTATTATTTTAATTTTACAAATCTTCATAACATGCTCAGAGAATTCTGCCTGCATATTTTGACAGCTGATCACTTTTTTAGAAATAGGTAGGCCTATATAAAAATGAGGCCTAGTAGGCCTATATTATTTTAATTTTGCAAATCTTCACAAAATAGTGAAATATTCTGCCTGCTTATCATGACTTTTTTTTGACAGCTGATCGCCTTTTTTTTTAGAAATATGTAGGCCTATATTACAAGGCCTAGTATTTTTTTAATTTTACAAATCTTCCTTAAATGCTCAGAGAATTCTGCCAGCATATTGTGACTTTTTTTTGACAGCTTATGACTGTTTTTAGAAATAGACAGGACATAATGAGGCCTAGTGGGTCTATATTATTTTAACTTTACAAATCTGCAAAAAATGCAGTGACATATTCTGCCTGCACATCACAATTATTATTTATTTTTTTGACAGCTGATCACCCTGTTATAGAAATATGTAGGAATATATTACAAGGCCTGGTAGTATTATTTTACATTTACAAATCTTCATAAAAATGCGCAGAGAATTCTGCCTGCATATTGTGACTTTTTTTGACAGCTGGTCACTGTTTTAAGAAATAGGTACTAAGTTAGGCCTATATCACAAATTACCTACTTATCAAATCAGAACACCTTCTACGTGTGCATATCCTATCCTAGTTATGCCGTATTACTCGTATAGGAATTAATACTGTAGTATTCTGTAGTTTGGCAATTGGATCACTACAGTTTTCTGTAGGAATAGAATGGGTACTACAGAATTCTATAGACTTTTTTTATGAATTCTTATTTTGGGAATAAATATAATTGGCCAATGATTTATTCTAAATTGATAAGCTTATTTTTTCTCTCATGAATTAATAATTGCCGCATGATTTGACACCGGCACTTGCCGAACTATACAAGCCAAAGGCTACTTTCAAATACAAATTACGAATGAAAAATGAGCATTTAACAGAATTTTATTTTGTATTTCATTGGAATATTTCCAAATTAATATTTATTTTAAGAAAATTCAGCCAACACTTACGTCTAAAATGACATCGATAAACTGGAATTCCAAATACTCCGCCAAAGCGTCAGGCCTACCGGAAGTAAACATGGCACTTTTATCTTCGCGCATGCGAGGACGAGCATAATTCGCTCTAACGGGCTCGTTGGCGTTCCAGTGTATTTAGTTCTATGATTCATGTTAGTTCTAACAATAAACCAATTATTGTGCAGTTCACAATGGAAAACTGGAGGCAAAATATTCTTACGAGCTTTTTAGAAATAATGATAATTGATTATCAAATACCATCTAAAGTATCAGTATATATTTGGTTCGATCTGCGATCGTCACATACCCCATACTGTCATTACAAATATTATTTATATAATTAAACTGGGCCAAACAAACCCATTCACTCTAATTAATTTTAATAATGGCATACAGCTGCTTCTAAATAATATCAATTGCAGAACAGTGTATACACTTTTTATACAACTATGCCATTAATTTCAAAGGTAATGGGTTATGGGAAGATGCGTAATACAGATAGACTATTTTCTATTTAATAATTTAATCAATGTATAGTTTGGAATCCAATGTGTGCAAATATCAACGTAACACGAAATAACAGTTAAATGGGTGCAAAGACAGCTATTCAAATCTCCAGGAACAAGTATATGTGTAAACAAATTTCACAATAAAACACATGCTAGTGTCGACGTTACTTATGTAGAATTTGTGTATAACCAGTCCAAAGACAATCCCAAACATAGCGCTGTCTGTCAAGAAAAAAAAACCATTTCACGATCGGTTCCCACTTGCTAGACAAAAACCAAAAAAGGAAAGTTAGATCTCGCAAACAAAATTAAATGAGGACTCCTTGACTTCAGTGACCGTAATGAAGCCCAAAAGTTCCAGTTTTGTTATTTCGTTCAAACGTTGATCCAACACACGAGTGGATAAAAAAAGGGCACTTAAATCTACACCGCGGATACTAATTTACCTTTCAAAGAAACAGAATAATAAGTGAATGTTTTATACCTGGATCCCCAACTTGATTGGATAATATGTTTTGATGCAGGAGATGTATCAGCCTTGAAAGCGTATTAAAGAACATTACACGACACATTGTCTACATCATATTACATAAGGAAATTTCACATGTTCTGCATAAAGATCAGACGCCGAATAATTGGACCTATAAGACTTTGGCGATGACGTTAGAATATAAACCAGTTACTAATATCATTACCCGGTTTCTTCTCCAACTCTTCATCACCTGATTGTCTGTTCTCTATCACCAATTTACTACAACAATATAGTAGGTAAATTGATAGCCCATCCTGGTCTTGTGTAAATTAAAATATATTCAGCTCACGAAAATTGGAAATATGATATAAAGTGTATAATAACCACGTGTAGTTGATCATATAATACAGCATCCATTATTCAGATGCAAAGAGGAAGCCTCCACATAAAACACGGTTGTTGAGACAGTTGTTACCCAATCCAATTAAAATATGCATCGTAAATTTCCCCTTTTCTTTATACATTTTGATTTTAATAACCATATTTCTTTATAACAAGATGCCTATTTCTGCTAACACATAATGTGCTTAAAGATGCATTATGTAAGATTTAGATGAAGAGTTATAATAGTTCAAAAATAGATAACGAGAAATGACTATATTTAACACTTCAGTCAAATTACTTTATTCTGGGCGAAGTTATGAGTGTTTAAAGTATTAACAAGGTAGTCTTGATTGTCGAGTCCATTGCTATGACAATAAACAATGTCTCGTTTATCAATTTATCTTTAAATTTTAAATATCTAATAATAATATATAACATGTGAAGCTAGAAAAAAAGACCTGCAATATGAAGATTTAGCACTTACATAATGATTCATTAAACAATTTAAATGAGCAATTATACCAAATTAATGAGCTTATACAGACTTTTTTTTTCACTATTTGAAATTGGTTACTTATGCTACATATCGATGTTTCACTCATTATCTTTATCAAAGCAAATTACGAAATATGTAAAATTTGACAAGATGCATTGTGTAAGAGCTAAATTTGCCTGTTACAGACCTTGTTTTTGCTTCAAATGTCATTTAAATTATTTTTTAGACATTTATTCACATCCCACAATCAACTGACTGGATAATCGGATGGCCGTGATTTTGAATGGATTAGAACACATTTAA